GTAGCCTCTTCTATACCTCCCCTGAGTAAATACCGCATAATGCCATTTCATTTTGCGCTCGCTAGGCCGCTCTAGTCTAGTTCCGTTTTCAGTGTGTTTCCGGTTTCGTCGGTCTGTTCCGTCGCGAGCGCGACGCTGACAGTGGAGTGGAACCGTTCCTCGATTCAGATTCGTTATTCGCTCTGTTTTCGTTTACGTTTTACCATAGATAAAAGGAGTATAGACAAAAGGAGTATGTCTACTTCTTTTAATCTATGGTTTTACGTTGCAACAATCCTCGGCTCCATGATCAACGCTACTGACTACTGAGCTGAAGATACAATAAGAGGTGTAGCACTGAATGAGAGACTTGCGAGATGTTGGTCACTATTTGTACTGGGGGAGGGGGATAAATACAGATTACCCCATAGAAAGAGTACTTAGTATTAGGCCTACTGATTAACAAGGCAAACTAGGGGATTGTGGGCAATCAACGAGCCAATGAGCTGATTATTCTACTTGGTCAGAATAATCAACACCTAACAAAGTTACAGCGTCTCGATTTTCTACAGAGTTGCCATGCCAGTGCTACCCCTTGATATATAGACTATATGTTTACAGGCAAAGTATGTAAACAGATATTTTATAGAATGACTAGGTATTCTATACATTTCCTAAAAATGAACCAGGTGAAGTATGAAATAGAGCTCAATTACTTTCCCTAGTTATTCTAGATAGAATCATTGACTTTTATATAGTCAATATGATAGAATGCCTGTTCGCACTGCAGGCAATATATATAAACTATGATGTTGTAGGACTTTTATTTACACTGTCGTATCTTTTTTTGCATTAATTAATCTAATCTAACCTAAACTAACCTAATCAAGCAATATACAAAATTAAATATTTCATTATTCTAAAGCAGAATGTGTTAGACTTTTGATTCCTTTTTGCATTAGCCAATCTAATCTAAAATTAACTAAAACTAACCGACATAACCTAATACACCAAATAATTCACTCCTGGTAAATACAGTACATGGTAATTGTTTAACGAAGTATTTTATACTTTGTCTGGCACACATAAACATGTGGGTATTTTATAAAATGCCTAACTGTCATACACAATGCCTAGTCAAAGTGTATTTTATTATTCTATTCCATACTTTGCCTAAAATCTTCAGTCATTGTATAGAATGCCTGCATTTACATTATATACTTTGCCTGTAACAAATACACCTACATCCATGATGCTACTCCGGTTGTATTTCTAGATCGGTGCCCAGTTACATGACTTATTTGTTGTCGCTGCAACAGTTCAATGGAACTGGAACTACAATCCTTCCACTGTTACTACAATGATTTAGTTTCCTGTACTGTATTATGAAAAGAATAAAATAATCTAGATTTTATTATAATCATTGTTGAAAAAGTGAAGCATGTAAAACAGTTAATAATTGTTTTTTTTTTCATTAACTTACCTAATGTTCATTATTATGTGCACATATGTTGTTACTCATCGAGTTGAACACTTATGTTATCATTTTTATTTGGTAAAAAAATCGCGTACATCCTTACAGTTAAAGCACAACATTATTATACAAAATAATTTTACAGGAGGACTGCCGCAGGAAATACAATTAAAATAAACTGTACACTATTTTTATAGTAAAACAGGTTCATGGTGAACTACAGTAGCTGTAGTAAATCTTGGGCTTTTGGGGGTAACTGCAATTATAGTTTGAGAAATGGCCGATAAACTTCACCCGATTCTCAGGTGAGGATCTTATAATAAAATAATAATCACAAGAGGTGGCATGTTAATCATGAGGGAATTGAAATGATTTTACCCTTAAATTAAATTACACTCATGGACGCTGTAGTTTATCAAAATGTCTGTATTAAATCGTACTTACTTCTATCAGGTCAAATTACATCAACTCGACTGCTAAAAAATGTGAGTAGAGTATAAATAGAGATGAGTGGTCCAAAAACAACTTACATACTTTTTTATTTACAAAATTGTAACTACACTTAACGTTTACATATGTACAGATAGAAAAACTCAAAATGTTTTTGGCGATATTCAATAAATCTCAATATGGCCACCGTTTCAGGCTCTGCCGGCGTCAAATCTGAATTCAACCTCCCGCCAAACATTTCTCAGCATTTCTGGAGTAACATGTGCAATTGCAATGGCATCCTCTAATCCGCTCTCACAGGTGTTTCAGGTTTTAAAAATTCTGATCTTCTCAGATTTTTCTAAAACTGTGTTTTCAGTGAACGCCCGCGTCTCATCTTTAATTTTCTACGTAACATACAGGCCTAATTGGTTATCCATTGTTGTCAAAGTGTATACGGGGGTGCAAGGGACAGTTCACGAGCTCGGGAATTCATAGTCCGCGACCAGATGTTGGTCCCGGACTATATGACTATAAAAATGGGTTCACGAGACAGAGCGTAATGATGTGAAAGCCGGCTTATTCTTGATCGAGACCAAATCGAAACGGAGCCTAATGGTAGGGATTCGCAGGGAATTATTTTTGAGACGTTGGTAACAACAGCCTGATCGTGAAAAAGGCTGAATCAAAACGCCCAAACCGATTACTATTCACGTATTTTATTGGCTCAAAGCTCGCCTATAATAAACTATCAAAGTTTATTGATTTATAAACACAACAAGTTACGTTTGTGTGAAACCAGATAATTGAAGTTCTCAGCGAAATAGATTTTTCTTAGTTCATCACTGTAATCCAATTTAGAAATGCATGACATAAAATAACTGGATATTTATAACCGGACGAATGCCTATTTTTCATAAAACGAAAACCTATTTAAATGGTACAATATTGAAAGATATTTAAGTATTTATTTATTTATTTATTTATGTATTTATTTATTTATGTATTTATTTATTTATTTATTTATTTATTTATTTATTTATTTATTTATTTATTTATTTATTTATTTATTTATTTATTTATTTATTTATTTATTTATTTATTTATTTATTTATTTGTATACGGCTAACACCATTTTACATTTCACATTGCAATTATATACAGATGGCCAAAAAAAGATGACGTAATAATACATGCGTGTGACCATTACAGCTATCTACTACATACACTTAATTAACAAAACAAAGTTGAGAAAATTATTAAAACTCAAATGTATTTAGAGGTACTTACTATTTAGATATAAAATCGTATGTATGTGCTCAGCTAATCAGGGAAAATCGTGGTTGTAATCTAAGAACAATCTTTCAGTTATTCTTACACTGTTTAAAAAAATATCTGTAAAATATGTTGAAAATAATATTCTGTGGTTCGCTCGTAATATTATTTATCTCGATTATTTATTTAGTACCGAAATGCAGGTACGATGGATAGGGATGAAAAAAGACCTACCATGACTCAAAAGAAAAATTATATAAAGCTCTTCTGGATTTATTTGTGTATGACTACCAGCCTATTGTCGAAGACAGGGGTTTTAAAAACTTTGCAATTATCCTTTAAATATGAACGGAAAGTAAATAAAAGAAACGTCTTATAACACTTAAAACATATATTTACGCTTATACTGTTACTCGCAAGACGGTAAATATACAAAAAAGATGGTAAGTGGTGATCGATTTCGATTGGACACTCCAATCATCATCAGACCCAATAGGCGAATGCTCCGCATAACAGGCGCATAACAGGCAACAGGCATGATTCACCTATTGGGTCTGATGATGATTGGAGTGTCCAATCGAAATCGATCACCACTTACCATCTTTTTTGTATATTTACCGTCTTGTGAGTAACAGTATAAGCGTAAATATATGTTTTAAGTGTTATAAGACGTTTCTTTTATTTACTTTCCGTAAATTTAATGACACGTACAATGCTGATCAAGAAGTTATTTAAATATGAACTCCCAAACCGAAAAAAAACAATGATACCCACTGAGAATTAAATATGTTTGAATGCTGTCCTTTAGATGGTGTTATCAGTTGACAGAGCTAACACCACGGACAATTATTGCCTATTTCATAACTACGAGGCATGTTTTTTTAAGTACAGTTTTTAAATTTCTCCGTTCCAGCGCTGCGATTGGCATTTTGAACATTTGAGCTGAGTATGTGCATATATTGGCAAACCTGCGCCGGAAATTTTGCAACAATCGGCCTTGTTTACATCCGGTTTCGATCATTCAAAATGGCGCCGCCAATTGAGACTGCCGCCGACTGTGAAGTGCGCGCTGTAATTCTATTTTTAAGTGCTAAAGGTGGGAAAGCCATTGAAATTCATTGACAGATTAGTGAAGTGTATAGCGTGAACATTAAGAGTGATGGAATGGCACGCAAGTGGGTAAGGGCATTTAAAGACGGCCGCACCAACGTTCATGAGCAACACACTGGGCGGCCATCCGTCATTGAAGCGATGAATTAGTGCATAAAGTCGATGAAAAATGCCTTAGTTAATGCCTTAATATTGATGGAAACTATGTCAAAAAGTAGATTAAGATACTGGCTTTCAAATAAAAATATAATTATTACAATAAGTATCCTGGTTTTTGTTAGATTGTAAAACGGTACATACTTCAAAACATGCCTCGTATAATGGCTTTGAGCTGAGATCTGTACGATTAGAGAACATCCAAGGGAGAAGTTGGCAGCAGCCATAAACCAAATAATGGCAAACTTTCATGTAAGTTGTAATATAGTAGCAATAGGACCATATTAGATTATTAGTAACGGAAACAGATTAAGTTACTGGGTGGCTGCACTGCCTACATCGGCGTGGAGCTCCCTGATTGGCTGCCGATCGGTCAAGGAGTTTTCCGTCTTGATGATCGTCACTTCAAGTCTAGCAAGGTGTGTAACTAGATGTCGCCATGTTGTCTTTATAGTTATAGTAGTTACTACAAATGGCGCAGTCGTAGTAAAGTTAATTTTGTTCAACTTCTTTTTCGCGAGTGCGGATTGTTGAAAAATTAATTTGAGGAACCATGTCGTCCCGTTCAATAGGGAGTATGGGGGAATTTAACCCTCATGAAGAGGATATTTCGTCATATTTAATGAGGCTGAAACACTACTTGAAGGCCAACAGCGTAAAGGAAGGATCGGAGTTATCCATTTTGATTACTGTAATTGGACCAAAAGCTCTGGCTGTTCTCACGGACTTAGTATCACCAGATTCGGTAGATTCCAAGGATTATAAGGATCTGTTAAAGGTGTTGGAAGCACATTATTCTCCAAAAAGGTTAGTGGTAGCCGAACGCTACACGTTCTACTCACGTGTTCAGCGTCCCAATGAAAGTATTGCTGATTTTATGGTAGCAATTAGGCATTTATCAAGCACATGTAACTTCAAAGCCTTTCTTAAGGATGCACTCAGGGATAAATTAATATCTGGAATCCACAATGAGGCAATTAGGCAAAAACTTCTCAGTGATGAACAAGATTTGGATTCAACTTTTTCATTAGCACTAACCTTAGAGCAAGCTGAAAAACAAACTAGTCTTTTTGTAGGTTCAGGGAACCATGTTCATGATTTAAATAAAATGAGTCTAGGTCCACGTAAAGTAGGCCTAAGTGCCAAGCATGGAGTTAAATCAGCTAAGTTTTCAAGGTCACCTGAGGTAGGCCTAGTTGGCCAATTTCATAAGCTCAAATGCTATCGTTGTGCGAAAGAGCACAAGGCTCACGAATGTCCTTATATCAATTTTAAATGTAATATATGTAAAAAAATTGGACACCTTGGTAAGGTGTGTAGGTCAAAGGATGTGTCTGATAGTAGGCCTAGGACTAACAAAAAAGTGTTTAAGGTTCACAATGTTGAAGAGACATCGGAAGTTTTACAGGACTTATGTCTGTATAGTGTAGGCCTTGGAGATGGAAAGGCGGGTTATGAAGTAGGGTTGATGATTGAAAACCATAATGTGACCATGGAGCTCGATACAGGCAGCGCCCTTACGGTCTGCCCCTTTGAGTGGTATCGTAAATATTTTTCACATCTGGCTTTAAAGCCTTGTTATGTAAAACTACTTACCTATTCAGGAAATGAAGTAAGTGTGTTGGGACAGATTTTGGTTAGAGTAAAAGCGGCCAACCAAATTTATCAGGACTTGCCGTTAGTTATTGTAGAGTTAGGCCAAACGGGTCAACCAATGTTGCTAGGTAGAAACTGGCTTGAACATGTAACCTTAGACTGGAAGTCTATATTTTCTCAAGATAAAACTGTAAACCGCTCCGACGAGCACGTTTTTAATAGGCCTAAACTCTATTGACAAGTTACCTAACCTAACTTCACTTCAATCTGCTGACTCGGTTCAGCCTAGGGCCAAGGAAGATGTTAAGCATTTAAGGCAAAAGTTTTCTTCTGTGTTTGAAGGAAAATTAGGTTCAATCAAGGGTGTGAAGACACATATAATTTTGAAAGATGGAGCTGTACCGAAGTTCTGCAAATTTCGTCCAGTGCCGTTCGCTCTTCGCAAACAAGTGGAAGAGGAAATAGACAAGATGGTGGATGATGGAATTGCTTATCCTGTTTTGAGTTCCGACTGGGCAACCCCACTGGTTGTTGTGCCTAAGCCTACAGGAGTTAGGCTATGCGGGGACTTTAAGGTAACGTTAAACCAAGTTATCCAAACTGAACACTATCCTTTACCTCAACCCGAGGATATTTTTGCTTCATTATCTGGTTGTTCTGTGTTCTCTGTTATTGATTTACAGACAGCCTATCTTCAACTGGAGGTCGCTGAGGATTCACAGGAGTTGTTAACCTTGGCAACACATAAAGGATTATTTCGTCTTACTCGTTTGCCATATGGCCTATCCAGTGCACCTGCTTTGTTTCAGGCAGCTATTGATGAGATAATTAAAAATCTTCCCGGTACGGTAGCGTACCTTGATGATGTCTTGATTGGCGGACATTCATACCCTGAAGCAGTGTCTAGGTTGGAGCAAGTTCTTCAACGCTTCCAAGAATACGGAGTGAAGGTTAACGATAGTAAATGCAAATTTTTACAACCTGTTGTAGACTATTTAGGTTATAGGTTGTCGGCTGAAGGTATAAGTCCACGAGAAGGGCTAGTGGAAGCCATCAAGGATGCCCCGGAACCATCAAGTAAGGAGGAGTTGAGATCATATATAGGACTCATTAATTACTATGGTAGATTTATTTCCAATCTCTCTGATAAGCTGAACTGTTTCTATGAGTTGTTGAAAAAGGATGTTCCTTTTGTTTGGTCTAGGAAATGTGCTGAAACTTTTAAACAGAGTAAACACTGGGTGTTATCTTCTGATATTCTTGCACATTATGATGTCAATAAGCCACTAGTGCTTACATGTGATGCAAGCCCTCGAGGCGTGGGGGCGGTGTTGTCCCATTTGATTGATGGCGAAGAGAGGCCTATTGCTTTCGCCTCTAAAACTCTAAGTCCAAGTGAGAAAAATTATTCTCAGCTTCATAGGGAAGCCCTAGCATTAGTATTTGGTGCTAAGAAATTCCATAAGTATATTTACGGGAGAAAACATGTCATATTACAGAGTGACCACCAGCCGTTGGCTACTATCTTTGGCTCAAAGCGAGGAACCCCAAGCCTAGCCGCAGCGCGCCTACAGAGATGGGCCCTGATTTTGGCTTCGTATGACTTCGAAGTGAGATATCGCAAGGCGTCTGATGTGCCACATGCCGATGCCTTATCCCGGTTGCCGTTACCGGCAAGTGATTCACTGGAACTGGAAAACAACTTTATCTCGCACACTCAGGAATGCGTGGAGGTACTAAACTGCTTCAGCACGGTGAGTACCGAATCACCTATCACTTCTAAGGAAATTGCTAAATTCACTGGTACTGATCCTATATTATCTAAAGTAAGAGATTATGTTTGGCACGGCTGGCATGGTGCTGTGGATAAAGAGTTATTGCCTTTTGTAAAAGGGAAAGATGAACTTTCTGTGGATAGTAATTGTCTTCTGTGGGGGGCCCGTGTGGTCATTCCGACAAAATTGAGGAATCAAGTTTTAGAATTGCTTCATGATCAACATCCAGGCATTACACGGATGAAGCTGTTATCACGTAGCTATGTGTGGTGGCCCGGTATAGAACAAGGTATTGAAGAAACAGTGTCTTCTTGTTATATTTGTCAGTGTACGAGGAATGCAGCTCCAAAAGTCCCTCTCCAACAGTGGCCCCGTGTGTATGGCAGATGGCAACGGGTGCACATAGATTTCGCTGAAGATACTAATTCTAGGCAACAAATGTTAGTACTAGTAGACAGTTTTTCCAAGTGGATCGAGGTGTTTGTTATGAAATCTACTAGTTCTCTCAAGACCATTGAGCGTCTCCGTTCACTTTTTGCATCGTATGGGCTTCCGGACACTCTAGTATCTGATAATGGCCCTTCTTTTACAAGTTTTGAGTTCAAAGAATTCTTAAAGAAGAATGGAGTAAGGTTTGTCTTATCACCTCCTTATCATCCTGCGTCAAATGGTGCGGCCGAGCGTTGCGTTCAAGAAGTGAAGAAGAACCTGTTGAGACAGGTGTTGAGTGAAGGTGGTACTGGTTCTCTGACTTTGCAAAATAAACTTGATAACTTCCTAATGACATACAGAAATACACCTAACACTGTAACAGGACTTACCCCGGCAGAATTGTTTCTCAACTGGAAACCTAAAACTAGGCTTGCACTTCTCAAACCTAACCTCAACGCTCGTATTGACACGAACCTGGACAGACAGAAGGAGAGTTCGGATAGGCATAGGGGAAGGGCAAGGTCCTTTGAAGTTGGAGAGAAAGTGTTCGTCAAAACTGTCAGGCAGGAGAAAATTGATTGGGTACCTGGAAAAGTTCTGGAAGTAAAAAGTTCTGTAATATATCTTGTTAGTGTATTGGGAAAAGTTAGGCGTTGCCATGCTGACCACCTCAGGTCTAGAGTGAACATGGAAGAGGAGGGGATAGCAGTGCCAAGTTGTGAGCCAAGGTCTCCCATGAAACCAGTACTTCCTGAGCGAGGGGAAACTTCAGAGGACAAGGAGAGGCAGCAAGTTTCGCCCAGGCGGCAATCTCCATTGAAGGACTCTGAGACTGCAGTGGTCCAGCCAAGACATGAAGACTCACCTGCGGTAGTGCAGTGCAGCCCGCCCAATCTTAGAAGGTCAAAAAGGACAATTCAAAAGCCTGAAAAGCTAGACCTTTAAGCTATTCAGGCAGAAGTGAGAAGAGTTTATTTTAGTTTTATGAGAAGAATTTTTAAGTTGGAATCAAGGTTTAATTAATAAAAATGAAAAAAAGAAGTTATTATGAAGAGAAAGTTTTATGTTGGAAGAGTATGTTATTTGTGGTCTTACAGCAGTAGTGTGGGCCTAATCTAAATGGTGGCGAGTGTAATATAGTAGCAATAGGACCATATTAGATTATTAGTAACGGAAACAGATTAAGTTACTGGGTGGCTGCACTGCCTACATCGGCGTGGAGCTCCCTGATTGGCTGCCGATCGGTCAAGGAGTTTTCCGTCTTGATGATCGTCACTTCATGTCTAGCAAGGTGTGTAACTAGATGTCGCCATGTTGTCTTTATAGTTATAGTAGTTACTACATAAGTGATAAGGTTGCAATTTTAATCAGTGACAATGCTATTAACATAGTGGGAGCAGCAACGATCCTTTAAGTAAAACATGCTGGGCGTTTCGCCCATACAGTCAATTTAATTTTATAAAATGGCTTGAAACTCGTTGTAGGGTTGATTGAACATGTAAAAGCTGTTGTTTCACATTTCAAGAGAAGTTAGAGAAACTTTTAGTAAATTTATTGAAGTACATAAAACCATGGGCTTAGACCCAAAAAAAACTCATCAACGAGGTAGCAACCAGGTGGAATTCCACCTTTTACATGTTGTCAATAATTGTGGAACTACAGGATGTAGTGAAGACGAGGAGGTAACGAAAAGTAGGGGAGGAGAGGGGATTTATGGCAGACAGCCAGATGATTTCCCTGACCGACAGCTTTATAAGTTAGTGTTTGCAATAAAATGCTTAGGGAAAAGTTTCGAACTGACTCTAGCTGGAAGGGTTGATTGGTTAAAATGGAATCAAGCAAAACAATGACACTGTCAACTTTGCTTGATCCTAGATTCAAATTGGCAGTGTTTTCAGACAAAATGCAGCTGATGGCATCAAAGCCAACTATTCACAGTTGATGGCTGGTATTTGGCAGAGAAGGTATACAAGAACTGACTATGCATCAACTGCCAATGAGGCTTGAGACCAAGAAACAAAAGAAGATGATCAATCTGAGCAAACATCGACATTTTCAGTCTGGAAGGATCGTGATAGCTTTCGTGTGATATCTTCAAAACACCAGGTATTTTATAAAACACACATACATACACTGTCTTCTCACCTACTTATTTATATTGTGTATACATACGTTTAGTGTATTTATTTAATGTACCTAGATTTTTCATTTGACATACCCACCAGCATGATATGACCTTCTGTTTATCTTAATAATGCACACTCAGTTTTTATATTAGGATTACTGTATGATTATATCATAATAATAATTATGTATTATACTGTAGGCTATAATTCAATACAGTATTGTGCTTTATTTCAGAATCCAAAACATCTGAAGCGATATTGTGGAGCTAAACAGAGAAGATGATGTATCGGACGCAAGGATAATCCACTTCTTTGGTGGAAATATAATGAGGAATTCTATCCACTACCCAGCAAAGTAGTAAAAACGAAGTTTTGTGTTGTTGGAACATCGGTTCCCCTCGTGCGAGAGACTTTTATATATAATTTTATATATAAAGTCTATATAATCTCAGAACGACGCACAAGACTAGACTCAAAAAGAGCAGAACAACTTTTGTTCTTACACTCTAATTCATACTTGTCTTATTTACCGGTAGGTAAACATGCGGTTGTAATCTTATATCCGAACACTTTATAATATTTAAGTTGTTTTCATATGATAAAGACAGTTTACATTACATGTTTTTAAAAATTTCTTAAAAAGTTCAAGCTTGTAAAAAAACAATTCATAAACTACTGGGTTTTTCATCATTACATTATAGTTATACTAATACCTAAAAATAGAGGTAATTGTTAAAGGGTCATTATGGGACATTGATGTCAAATTTACCTAAATTACATGAGTTAGTTGTGAAGACAGCTTAAATATTATTAAAACGATATAGCTTTTTTTGGTGGAGAGGATGTTATGTCTTCATAACGGTCATTATTGTCTTTGTGGTAACTAAATAACACACGCACTCTGAATTAATTAAACATGGATTTTATTTAACATTGGACACATAACATTACATCACAACTCTGCTTTAGCTTGAGGTCAGAAACGGAAGAGAGACAAAAACAATGAACAATAATTTATAGGCTACCTAAAATGGCAGGCTTATTTTAGTTCAGGCTCTCAGAGCAGAGTTGTGATGTAATTTCATGTGGCGAAAGTTAAATGAAATCGATGTTTAATTAATTCAGAGTGCGTGTGTTATTTAGTTATTAGTTGCCACAAAGACAATAATGGTCGTGATGAAGACTTAACATGGCACTGCAGGGAGTGGATCCTAATTCCAACATTAAAAAATATGCCAAATAGGGCTAAGTGTCGGACCTAACCTTTATTAAGATCCAGCTGGTTTTTCATAATGAAGACATTAATAAGATGGAGTTTGAACTACCATCACCTCTTATCCCTTGAGGGTGCTCTGCTTTAGCATGAGGTCAGGGTCAGAAACGGAAGAGCGACAAAAACAATGAACGATAATTTGTAGGCTACCTACCTAAAATGGCAGGCTTATTTTAGTTTCCATATAACCTTATAACATAGCCTATGGTTATATAACGGAGGAGGTAAATATGCTAAATAGCATAGACTGTGTTTGGTCCTCGTTGACAAGGAATTTATTTGCTGCAAACCATTCAGAGGTAAAATTTTGACTACTTTTCACTGCAGCTGCAAGCTGCGTTACATCTACGCCCTTACTGAGAATAGTGGTATCGTCTGCATACAAATATGCATCACCGTGGAGGCAGAAATTGATGGCAATGAGAAACAGGAGAATGCCCAATACTGAGCCCTGAGGTACTCCACAGTTAGAGGATAGGATAGAGGACCAGGTATTGCCTAAGCAAACTGCCTATCTTCGATCAGCAAGGTATGTCCTGAAAAGGCTGAGGTCCCCACTACGGATACCATAATACTCCAGCTTTTGGAGGAAGATGCCATGGCCAACACAATCAAAGGTCTTGCTTAGGTCAATAAAAGTGGCCCAAGCAGCCTCTCGACTCTCAAAACAATTAATTGAAGACTGTGCGGACCATGGCATCGATGGCACCCGTAGTAGAGCGTCCAGCCTTGAAACAAAATTGTTGTTCGTTGAACAGAGCATGATCACGGCCACCTTTAACTACAGGCCGTGTCCTGGTAGAATTGGCAACGTCGCAAGTGGTGTTGTTTAGTGACAAACTTCATATAAAATGTTGAACCTAAAACATACAGAATTGAAAACCGAAACAATGAATTAAAAATATGTATCTGTACATTTTAAGCGGAGTCAATATTGTCATAGTTCAGTAACCAATCTTTCGTAAATACACAAATGACATTAGCTGCTTCCAAACAAAACAGCTGTAACAACACCACTTGCGACGCTGCCACATCGAAAGCGGTGGCCTGGAGTTAAAGGCGGCCGTGGCATGATACTAAACAAATATTATTTATACATAGATGTACAGGCTAGTACCTATATACAAAATAGGTACAGCTGTATTTTATACCAAGCTATCACATTTGAATAAAAAAACACATCTCAATATCATCTTCACTGTAGCAGCAAACCTAAGTACTCACTAAAATTAATGTTATACAAATATTAAATTAATCTGACAATTATAGGAAATATTTTAGTAGATGTCCAGACGGGTAGATGGAAATTCACTTAGTCTGCAGGTTTGCTGTGGCGGGGTATTTATTTGTATGGCAGTCAATTAAGTTTTCTTTCGTTAGTATTGGCATGTATTGGCTGCACTTTACTTTAGGTCCTACACTCATTCGAATGAAAATATCGATCGATATATCGATTAATCGATTGTTTAATTCGATATATCGTTTGGTTAGTTAGGTAAGGTTAACCTAACCTAACTGACCAAACGATATATCGAATGAAACAATCGAATAATCGATATTTTCATTCGAATGAATGTAGGACCTAAAGTAAAGTGCAGCCTTAGTATTTATTCTAATCAGAAATCAGAAACATTTATTGCCGAAAACATTACAAAAATTTATAGACCATCGTCAGGTACAATTTATAGCAAACATGAATTTGCTTTTCTTAAGAAAACAACCATTATTAATAAGAAGCAATCTTTAAATCGTCTTTAGATTTCTATCACAGAAGTTGATTGAAAAAAGTATATAAGTATATAAACAAATGTCAACAATACATAAAATTTTTTTAACAGTTAAAAGAAGTCACAATAACAGAATAAAACTCAACAATATATAGTACAAAAAATTGTTAAAATTGCTATGGGCGGTAACAGGAGATTCAACAATAAAAACATACATTTAACATTAGACAATACAAAACAAACAGCACATCTGACATTAACAATAAAAAAACTAATTGACATTTATTTATTTATTTATTTGTTAACGGTTGCACCATTTTTACATGAATAATACAATGTCTTGCATGCAGAAGAAGCAGAAAAAAATCACAGGTCAGTACAAAAGTAGTGAAAAAACTGGAAAACAAGACTTCAATAACAAGACATAAAAAGATAAATAACAACTATAAATAACAAACTATAAATAACAAACTATGAATAACAAACTATAAGTAACAACTATATTGTTTGTTGGTTGTTGTAAAAACTAATTGATCTATTGTTATTTATTGTTATACTTAAGCACTTGTTTTTTCTATGTTATACTTCAATATTATATCCTTAATGTTATTAGCCATCCATCGAAATGTAAATTGGTGTATTGCCGTTGGATTGATAAATAAATAAATAAATACAAGCACTAACCCCCGACCATCCTTAGTGATTTAGCAGAAAACTCCTTTCCTCAACCCATGGGTTCCCGACGGATCGACTGATGCATTTTTATAGAAACTGAATTTAAAATAAACTAACCTTTGTAAGGTATAAAACATGTCAATGCATGATTCAGAAAAATTCACAACAGTGATATTTTATATACAGATATTTTATATACTGTACAAACATAAACTACTGGTAAAAAGCTGCATGACGCTTAATCAAGTGTGCCTTAAAACCAAAGAATAAAGAAAAAGAACCTTTATAACAGCTGTTTAGCAGACTTCCTGACCTTGGGACTTCTGCCAAAGGTCACGACGACGACATGGGCAAACGAAAGCTCAAGGCTGGTCCTGTTTGGAATGCATTTAGTAGAATTGAAATTAGTTTGGCAAGTTAGACCTCTGTAAACTGTTAACTGGATCAGTATGGGGTTTTAAAACAATGCTGGTTTTTGTTTTCAACCATAGAAAACATTATTGCTATTGTTGTGCCGGTTCGCGAGTTTTGTGAACTGTAGAGACTTAAAAAGAAAAGTGTGTTTTTAGATGAGTGTCTAACTGAAGCCCTAGTCATTGTTTTTGGTAAGGGTATTCCATTATTTTATTTACTGTGTAGCCCTACGTTTTATATACTTTATTATAGTTCAGTTAGCTCATACCACAATTGTTTACTATCATCCACAAGGAAATTGAAATGCATGTTGTATATTATTTTGCTTAACTGTTGAGTGTTGACATAACCTCTAAAACACATCCTAATCACTGATCGCCAAATTACATGCGACCAAAGTTAATTGAAGAGATAGGCCTAGTTCAGTTTCACAGCCTAGATAGGCATAAAGGGATTTTGGTTACTTTCCTGTTAAAGGGAACATTCATTATTTTATTAACAATGATTTCTTTTCGATATAACTTAGGCTATAAATTTTTTTTGATCCGATAAATAATTATATTCAGTATCAAGAAAAAATTTAAACAAAATTATATTTAAATAAAAACTGTTCTTAACTAACTTAGGCCCTAACCTATAGTTAAATTCAACCTTTCCTGAGGCGGATTACTGGCAGAACCAGTCGACCACACTAATAGCCTCGTCCCTTGGCCCTATTGTGTGTGCGCTCGGAGCTGGGCATGCGGCGGCCTGTCCCAAAATAGTCATTCCTGCTGGCTCCAGTACAGTTATGGACTTTTTATTATTTTAAGAAAAAGTTCAAACGAATCACATAGCGTAACGCATCGTGATCGCCTGATTATTTTGATATAAAATCTGAGGAAATTTCGACCAATTCCATGAATAATAACCGATTAAACATGTAATACGCATTTTTCCAAATAATATATAAGTTAGGACATGGTAGGAATAAACTGTACAAGAACATTGTTTGTTGAGAAAAACATACCATATTATTCAACAATTTTACGAAACAATACTGTACAATTTTAGAACTTAACTTGGGGGAACTTTTCTTTTCCATACTTTACGTACGGTATTTTTATGTTTATTTTTATGCCAAACAATTAATGGAAACCAGGGAATTTTCGCTCAGGAGAGAGAGAGAGAGAGAAATTCTTTATTTACAACAAATTATTTTGCAGCATTACATAAAGGAAATAAAAAAATATCACATGGGTCACAATGACCTAGGTGCGTGATAGTCAGGAAACATGGTAAACTATAGGTGAAAACAGACATCGACTCCTGGGATATGTTTCATGACCCAAAACCACTATAAAAAACGTTAATGTATGAAATCACATGAGTTTATGTATAAGATATAGCTTTAGTACTTCTAGTATGTTTGAATCTGTTAATATTCGTGGAATTGGTCGAATTTCTTCAAATTTTATATCAAAATAATCAGGCGATCACGATGCGTTACGCTATGTGATTTGTTTAAACTTATTTATTAAAATAAAAAATTTCATAACTGTAGCCTACTGGAGCCAGCAGGAATGACTAATTTGGGACAGGCCGCCGCATGCCCAGCTCCGAGCGCACACACAATAGGGCCAAGGGACAAGGCTATTAGTGTGGTCGACTGGTTCTGCCAGTAATCCGCCTCAGGAAAGATTGAATTTTACTATAACCTAGGCCTAACTAATCAAACTTGCTATTTCAAAATTCCGTTTGATATTCCCCATATGCCTTTTCTGTTAAAAAAGGATTTTGAAATTGTACAGCAAGTTTGGTTGGTTATTTTATGTTAGTTTAGAACAGTTTTATTTTCTTAATCTATTACATTTTAAGTTAGCCTACATAGGCTATTATTTTTTCCTAAACAAGATTAGTTCGCAATTTTTAATTTAAAGGCCAAAATGTGTTTGAAGATGCAAGACATTAAAACAGAAGGAATATTGATCGTAAGGGAAAGCAAGAATATCGATATAGGCTATCGAAAATAAATCATCGATAATAATGAATGTTCTCTTTACTTAACAGGAAAGTACCAGATTATTTTAGTAAACAAAAAAGTATTAACCTTTGTGCTTTTTAAGGTTTGACAGCTTACAATATTTTTTAACAATCTTATTTATATCTTCCCGCGGGTGCAGTTTCATAACTAACTGGGCTAAGCTAATATTGATTGAACATATCGATTCCATTAGTAGCCTAAACCTTCATTAGGCTAGATTTTAAGTTTATATTAAATTATAAAATGAAACTGTTATAACCTAACCTAACTAACCAAACTTGCTAGCGTAGCCCAGTTGAGAAGCTGTAGCCACATCTTCTTGTTATGCCTAAAGATAAGTCGATTTTTTAATCACTTCACTCATAGCCTAACTACTTTCATGGTAGCACAGTTTGTAACGCCAGCTTAGTGAAAATAATTATTAACTGTGTCAACTGTAGAGCAACATGTTTTTCAACTTGGCCTTATGAATTTTTACAGCTAGGCCTACTTATTCACACTTCCATAGAAAGTTTTCAATTTATAATTTTGATTTTAATTAGCCTTTTACAACTTATTGCATGTCTGAAGGAAAATTGTAATTTTTTTGTATCCTAAAATGTTTTTAAA